TAAGTTTTCTTCTCTCTTTGATAATCACTCAATGGATATGTTATTTTAATACTCTCAAAACTAATGTATGATACACATGTGCCACTAATGGAACTGCTAGATCATAGGATCTGTCCATTTTCACCCTAATGGGTGTAGGTCAGATAGTTCTCCAAGTGGTCACAGCAGATCACAATCTGATTAGCAGTATACAGGAGATCACTTTTTCCTATATGTACATCAAAGTCATCAACTGATTTTTACAAATCTGATAGGACTGAAATGGCTTATCATTTCTGTTAATTAAAAAAAACCTCCTAAAGTAAATATTCCAAAATGTTAATATTTTTAGACTCTCATTAGTGAGTATGGCTTTAAGAATTTTAAACGTTCCTTTTCTAAATTAACATCCCCCTCCCTCACTACCACTACGCAATAAGATCATGCCTGAAGTCCTTGACTGAGTGTCTTCTCCAAGGTAACCAAAGTCCTAATCAAATTAGGCATGAAATAAAACCTCTGCTTTTAGTAATCTATCCATGCTTCTACACTTAACCCTAAGTATATTTTTTTCACAAGATTCAAAAAATGAAAACCTAAGCTACTACTACAGAAGAATATTGTATCGCTAAGTCACTGTCCTAATTTGGAGTGAAGCAAGCATTCCCTATAAACACTCTATTCCTATAGTTAAAATATAATTACACTTAAAATTTCTCTTAACCATTCAACAGCAGCATATTGTGCCCACTACTTATTTAACAGGAATAAACTATCTTCCAGTTTAACAGAAATAAAAAACCATCAAATATTCCAAATAGCTGAGTCTTAGTTCCTCTTTTATTTTTATTTATTTATGTTTAAAGATACATTATTTATTTGAAAGGCAGAGTTACAGAGAGAGAGGAGAGACAGAGAGAGACCTTCCATCTGCTGCTTCACTCCCCAAGTGGCCACAATGGACGGGGCTGGGCCAGGCTGAAGCTAGGAGCCAGGAGCTTCAACCAGATCTCCCATGTGGGTAGTAGGGGCCTAAGTACTTGGGCCATCTTCTATTGCTTTTCCCAGGCCATTAGCAGGGAGCTGGATCAGCAGTGCAGCAACAACATGAACACCAGACATATGGGATGCCGGCACTGCGGGTGGAGGCTTTACCCACTATGCTACAGCGCTGGCACCCTAGTTCCTCTTTTCAAACAAGCCTTACTTTTGAAAAAGATCAGTAACAGTTGTTGTCCTACTAATAAAAAAAGTTTCCCTACTTAAATAATATATACTGGAGAAGGAACTAATAAGAAATCTTTTCTCTTAAAGTAGTAAATGGCTGAGACTCGATATATGGGGAATGCTGTTTTACAAATACTGTACTTATCAAAAAGCCATGCATATTTTATATGTCTTAACATAGTATTTAATGGAGCTGGCATGTGGAGCAGTAGTTAAGACACTGCTTGGCATGCCCGCATTTTATATTAGAGTGTCTGGTGGAGTCCCAGTTACTCCTCTTTCAATCCAGTTTCCTGCTAATGTGTACCTGGGAGGCAGCAGATGATGGCTCAAGTACTTGGGTCCCTGCAACCCACATGTGAGACCTGCATTGAGTTCCAGACTCCTGGCTTTGGCTTGGCCCAGCTCTGCTATTAAGGGCATATGGGAAGTAAATCAGCAGATGGAAGCTCTCTACGCCTTTCAAATAAAATGAAAATTAATTAATTAAAATATTAATAATTCATATTTGTAAAGGGCTTTGTAATGTAACATTTTCTTTGGTCAGTTTGGTGTTCACAACAATGAATTCACTGAAGTTGGGCAACTCTGGCCACAGAAGTCCCAGCAGGCCAGCTGCCTGAGAAGCTGTGTACCCACTGGGTTTAACCTACACAGTGGTCTGGGCACCTAATCTCCACTTACCCCAAGTTTTCTAAAGACTCAGCTTTAATACCTGTCCTAAAAGCTCAACTTTTGAAAGAAAACAATAGTACCTATTTGTAAGAAATGATCTATTATATAACTGTGCCACAGTGTTTATTTTCTCATCAAGGTGGCATGTTAGATATTACGTAGTCTTTTATAATAGCATTCATATTTAGAGTTCATCTCTTCCTGAAACTCAAAAAATCAAGATATGCCTAAGAAGTAAGGAGTAAATTGATGTAGAAAACTGCCGCTTTCCGAAAGAGTTTATTTCAGAGCACTTGAAACAATCACAGTCATGCTTTTGTCTTAAGTGTTAGGATAGAAATATAGAATCTAGAAAACACTCTGCTGCCCGTGCTGACAATCTAGATATTCCTTTCCCACTTGAATAAAAGTAAATGTTCTTTTTTTCAGGAAATTGTTAACCCAGTTGGAAGGGAGGCACTTGGTAGGGAAAATGTTACTTTTGCTCAGAGACTTCATTTACTTGTCACATTATGTTCCAGTGAGGTACAGAAAAGGCAGTAGAACTTGCTTGGTAGCTTTAACTTCAATTTATAAGAGAGAAGAAACATATTACAGAAATTCATATATAAAGTAAAAGACCATTTTTAACGGTCTAAACACCGACTAATGCCAACTGCCTTGTTTCTCCAGTGGATTCTGAGGGTAAGGACCAGCACGAGACATAGTGAGCCAGACACCCAGGGCACATTTAGAGGTTATCAGTAGTGCCAAGATGTACTCTACAGATGTGGACAGCTGCTTTGGATTAAGCTAAAAGTACCACCTTTGAAGGAGCACTAGTTTTCTAGCATTTACTTATCATACTTCATTTGATAACCTTTCACTACTATTTTATTTATTTTAAAATGGAGAAATTAAAGCACATGCAATACTTTATGTGGCTTCAGGGAAAGTCTGAATAAAATGGAAGAGCTACTTTCTGAATCTCATACACCATACTCCTGAAAAAACAAACAGTGGTATTAACTTGCCCCTCTGCTGGATTGGAAGTGGATCATCCAGGACTCAAAGGGGCACCCATATGGAATGCTGGAGTTGCAAGGGTTGGCTTAATCTGCAGTACCACAGCCCCGGCCCCTAAACTTCTCTCTTAATTCCACTTTTCAATGACCTTTTTGAAGTACCCTCATCTCTTTCTTTATCAAATGAACCATTCCACATCTTCTCTTATTATTTGGTTTTGATCTTTAAGTCAGAGTCTTTAATCTCTTTTTAGGTCATGGATAATCTGGAGAAAGAATTGAAAGCTATGTTTCTCTGTAGAAACACACAAAATTCTGCAGAGAGATTTGGTTAAAAAAATTCTCTGAGGTCCATCCATAAACCCTCAGGTTAAGAATGGCTGCTTCAAGTGAATTTAAGAGCCTTATACTTGCTCTTGTTAATATTGTTTTGCTAAAAATGGACCAATCTTTCAATTGTCTTATGATCCTAATCATCTTTTTAAATTAGCTTTAAACTAAAACTTCTTCTATTTATTGTTTAAAAAAAGAAAAGCAGGGTCAACTATAATTGAACGTCTATATAGTAGAATGTTTTCATCCTTGTCTCTTTTGGTAGGATCTTTTGGTAGGATCTTCTAGGAAGATCTATATAAATCCAGTGCAGATACAATCTACCTGAATCCAACACATACAGCCATACTGTCATGTATCCTAAGCTTGGGCATTAACACTGACCCTCATTTATAAATTACAATTACGAGGCCGGCGCCGCGGCTCACTAGGCTAATCCTCCGCCTAGCGGCGCCGGCACACCGGGTTCTAGTCCCGGTTGGGGCGCCGGATTCTGTCCCGGTTGCCCCTCTTCCAGGCCAGCCCTCTGCTGTGGCCAGGGAGTGCAGTGGAGGATGGCCCAGGTGCTTGGGCCCTGCACCCCATGGGAGACCAGGAAAAGCACCTGGCTCCTGGCTCCTGCCATCGGATCAGCGCGGTGCGCCGGCCGCAGCGCGCCGGCCGCGGCGGCCATTGGAGGGTGAACCAACGGCAAAGGAAGACCTTTCTCTCTGTCTCTCTCTCTCACTATCCACTCTGCCTGTCAAAAAAAAAAAAAATTACAATTACGAAACTTACTGAAAGCTAGGTATATTTCACATATACAGAAATAAAACTTTTCCTAAAGAAATTCTTCATGGACCTATCACATCACCTTATGCATAGTAAGTGCTCAATAACTTAAGTAAAATAGGTAACACATGTGGATGGAGTCACAACAGTCATCAAGAACCATATTCTTACCTTAACATGAGCTTTAGAATTTGGCAGTCACACATTAGAATCAATTAATTTTATAATCATCCCTTACACAGCAAAAGCCCAAACTATAATATTTAACTTTCAGCTTCAAATTTTGTTTTATATTTTTCCAACTCTACATTCATATTTGTAAAAATCTTATGATTTTCACATAAGAAAATACACTACCTATCTACCATCAGTAGGTATATAATTTGAGTATTTCTCCTCTTGATTTGCGAAATTCTGGTCTTCTGGGGTCTATAAGTTTAGCCGCCATGGGGTGTGGTCATGGATGAGCAAACAGAGTAAAGCTAAATGGCCTAGAAAGTGATCAAGTCTATACAGGATTTATCAGCACCATGATTTAATATAAATACTTCAACACATTTACATGAAACTCCTGCCCCAAAAATCTATACTAAAAAAACCTCAAGATGTTAGCATAGAATATTCAATAAATGTAATTGTTGTTATTTACACAAATAACATAAGCATATTAAAATACTAAAAATTTTAAAATTGAAGTCATGTCTAAATTATCAATTTAATCACTGAGAAAATCATACTTCAACACAAATTCTATTTCTATTAATACATACCTTCTTAGCCCAAGTGAATATGTGTTTATCCTTTAAGCTGGCAATGGGATAATAATAGGGCCTCTAGAAAGTCATTTTTAAGATATTTATCATTCAGTGAAAATAACTTCAAAAATACAGCATAAGAATGACTTTTGAGCCAAACATGTTCACTGTCTGATTAAAAATGAAATATTAAAATATTCACACATCTGGAGGAAAGACTGTTGGATATAACTAAGTACTAAAATAGAATTCTTACCTGTAATGTACATGTGTGACTGTTGGCTTCCTGTATCCAAGGATCCAGGTTTGAATGTCTATAGGCTCAGCTTTGGGATAAGCTATAGTTGTATCTATTATCCATTGGAGGCCTTTGGATTTGCTCTCTGAGAACAAAGAAAAAAGTGACCTAAAATTGGGTCAATTTTTAAGTAACCTGCAGTAAAAAACATAGTATAGATTACTCAAGCATATTGATATACGTTCGCATTAAAAAAGAGGATGAACTTTGTTGCTAATGCTCTATAACACATTTAAGATGAAATTAAGTGTTATTATGATATAATATAAACTTCTTCAGAACAAATTAACAAATAAAATAGCACTATAATTTAGTGAAACATTAACCATTCAAGTACTCAATACAATTAGCACTATAAAAGTATAATTTATATTTCATCACGCCAATAAAAATTGACCTATGAAAAGGCTAGAAGCTAAAGTATTACATCACAAAAATGAAAATCAGACTTCAAAATAAAACCATTCACTAAATGTATTGTAAGACAAACACAAAGATTTGTGATTCTTGGGAGATATTAATAAATATTGGAACACGGAAATAACATTAAGCATGTTTCACATACATTACTGTCCTCTTGTTTAAAAGGAGGCCAAAAAAACCTCCTCCAATTTTAGCAAGAGTTACATACAAATAAAGCAATAACCCTGCCTGCCACTTGGGAGTTACAACAGGCAGCTTAACTGCTGTGGACAGGGGATGGGGAAGTTCTGTTTAGATGGTCCTTTGTACAGTGTTTTTTTTTTTTTTTTTTTTTTTTTTGACAGGCAGAGTGGACAGTGAGAGAGAGAGAGAGAGAGAGAGAAAGGTCTTCCTTTTGCTGTTGGTTCACCCTCCAATGGCCGCCACGGCTGGCGCGCTGTGGCCTGCACATCACGCTGATCAGAAGCCAGGAGCCAGGTGCTTTTCCTGGTCTCCCATACGGGTGCAAGGCCCAAGGACTTGGGCCATCCTCCACTGCACTCCCTGGCCACAGCAGAGAGCTGGCCTGCAAGAGGGGCAACTGGGACAGAATCCGGCACCCTGACCGGGACTAGAACCCGGTGTGCTGGTGCCGCAAGGCGGAGGATTAGCCTATTGAGCCACGACACCGGCCTTCAACAGTGTTTTTAAACTTTAAAAATATTTTTTTTTTTTATTTAGCTGAAAGGCAGAGAGAGAAAAACAGAGAAAGATCTCCCCACAGCTGATTCACTCCTCAAATGCTTTTAACAGCCAGGGCTGGACCAGGCTGAAGCCAGGAGCCAGTAACTCAATCCAGATCTCCTGTGTGGCCAGTAGGGATGGGGATTCAAGTACTTAAATTAACACCTGCTGTGGCTCAGTGTACGCATTAGCAAGAAGCTGGAATCAGAAGACAGCCTAAGGCCGGCACCGCAGCTCACTAGGCTAATCCTCCTCCTTGTGGTGCCGGCACACCGGGTTCTAGTCCTGGTCGGGGTGCCGGATTCTGTCCCGGTTGCCCCTCTTCCAGGCCAGCTCTCTGCTGTGGCCTGGGAGGGCAGTGGAGGATGGCCCAAGTGCTTGGGCCCTGCACCCCATGCGAGACCAGGAGAAGCACCTGGCTCCTGACTTCGGATCAGCACGGTGCGCCAGCCGTGGCGGCCATTGGAGGGTGAACCAACGGCAAAGGAAGACCTTTCTCTCTGTCTCTCTCACTGTGCCTGTCAAAAAAAAAAAAAAAAAAAAAAAAAGACAGCCAGACTTGAACCCAGGCTCTGATATGGGAAAGAGATGTCTCAAGGAGTATCTTAACCACTCCCCCAAACTGCTGCCCTGAACCGTTTTCATTCCCAGAATCGAACACAAAGTTGACCAAGAACTGAGAGAGAAATCCTCCAAAGAATGCTAATAGTCAGATTTTAAAGTATAACCACTCTGCTTCATAAATCATAAATCAAAATGCACATTAGGAATCAGTGATATATTATGTTTGTATACAAATAATTGAAAATTGCCCTTAAATTCGTTAAACATCTTAGAACAACATTCTGAAAGGAAAAAAATTGTAGAACAAAAGTAAATAAAGGGATCAGGCTTGAGATGTTCTCACTCTACACGAGGGTTAAGTCCTGGCTCTGATCCTGATTCTAGCTTCCCACTTGTGTGCACCTGGGATGCAGCTGGTGATGGCTCAAGTACTTGGGTCCTGGCCACCCACATGGGAGACCTGGACAGAGTTCTGGGCCCCTGGTTTCAGTTTGGCCCAGCCTTCGCTGTTGGATTTGGGGAGTGAACCAGCAGATCTGTCTCTGTCTCTGTCTCTGCCTTTCAAATAAAATGAAGAAAAAAAAAAGAGCGAGAGAGAGAAGGAGAGAGAGAAAGAAATTAATATTTAAATAATATATTGCTGGGGCCGGCGCTGTGGCGTAGCGGGTAATGCTGCCGCCTGCAGTGCCTGCATCCCATATGGGCCCCAGTTCAAGTCCTGCCTGCTCCACTTCTGATTCAGCTCTCTGCTATGGCCTGGGAAAGCTGCAGAAGATGGCCCAAGTCCTTGGGCCCCTGCACCCGTGTGGGAGACCTGGAGGAAGCTCCTGGCTCCTGACTTCAGATCGGCGCAGCTCCAGCTGTTGCGGCCTACTGGGGATTGAACCAGCGGATGGAAGACATCTCTCTTTCTCTGCCTCTCCTTTCTCTGGGTAACTCTTTCAAGTAAAATAAATAAATCTTTAAAAAAAAATATTGCCAAAGTAACAGAGTTTATGTAAAGAAACACATTTTAAAAGCTGCCAGTGATACACATGCTGAAATGTTTAGGGGTATAGTATGTGTGTATATATATATATATATATATATATATTTTTTGACAGGCAGAGTGGACAGTGAGAGAGAGAGACAGAAAGGTCTTCCTTTGCCGTTGGTTCACACTCCGCACTCCCAGGCCATAGCAGAGAGTTGGCCTCGAAGAGGGGCAACCGGGACAGAATCCGGCGCCCCGACTGGGACTAGAACCCGGTGTGCCGGTGCCGCAAGGCGGAGGATTAGCCTAGTGAGCCGCGGCGCCGGCCTAGTATATTATTTTGATATGCATTAAAAAAATCCCAAGAAGGACTAATGGATGGACAGAAAGATGGAGACAGATGTGATAATGAAAATATAGTAAAATGTTAATTATAGAAACTAGTTAGTCAGTTCACTGATATCCACTGTAAAATAACTTCAACATGTATCTATGTTTGAAACTTTTTATAATGCAATGATGAGGGGAGTCATTAGAATTCCATTTAATATCTGCTAAATCATACAATAAATACTTTAACACTCTTAACCTTTTCAAAGTTCATTAGACAGAACTTACACTGATACATGTGTATGGCTCAGACATTTAAACAAAGTCAGGGTTTGTGTTTACAGGAACTAAAATGTCAGAGAATATGGAAACTATAGAAAATAAAATGTAAAATACCAAAACACAGAGAAGAAAACAGTAATATACAGATAAAATTAGTTTTCCAGTACACTTCTGGTTTTTCCTAAATAGCTAGAATATAACATTTTAATTAAAGTAGGATAAATCATACACTATTTTGCTTTGGTTATAAACAAATGGTTTCTCGCTAAAAGAAAAGGCCACGTTTCCTCAATATCATTCAATCTATCTGACACCTGCCCTTCCTGTACCAACTAGAGTACCACAGGGCCTGACGCTGGGGGCCGGGGGAGGGCACTATTTGAAAACAGGAGTCTTTCTGAGTGTAATGAATCCTTTCTGGAAGACCTTGGTCTTCAAGCTTCGGCTTGGCTGACATTGCCACAGTATCTCTCCACTAGTGAAGCTATTCTGAACTTCCACTTTCTATTAAAAGACTTTCAATTTGTCTTTTTAATAGATGATGAATGATTAAAAGAGCTGACTGCCATGCAGCTGCTTGAAAAAAAAAAACAACAAATGAAAGGAAAAAGTGCAGTCTCATGGGCATTATTTTTGTGGCTGGTCCTTATCACTATTTAAAAACACAAATGTGGGTACTTCAGGAAGTTCATGGAAATGGAATGAAAAGATGTCAGGGTACAAGGAAATTTTTGAAATTCCTGCATAGCTTTTTCAGAATACACATTTTCCATGAACATTTTGAAGATCCCTTGTATTTCTGATTCAATCATTTCAATCTTTGCTTTACTTAAAAAACAGTAAAAGAAATAACAAAATGCTACCAAGGAAATAGGCTTAGTAAGTTTCTTTCATCTTTAAATTTATACCCTATCACCAAACTTTCACAGCAGTAGTATCTGAGATCAACTTGCTCAAAACAGTCTCCATGCTGGTGGCACAAATATCTATTGCAAAACTTCACAATTTACCAGATTATCTCCAAGTTAAGGGTAACTTTCTCCTGGCCATAAAAGCAATCCATACTTATGATATTAAAATTTGGAAAATCCAGAAAAGTGTAGAGAAATGGGGGGATATAATCCATAATGTGACAACTCAAGAGAAATGATCAGTGCTCACATTCTGGTATTCTTCCATGCACTTGCTACAGCCTACTGGTTATAGACCTGAGCTAATATTACTGTCACACGAGTTGTCATATTCCCCCCACTCACATTATAGCACAAGCATTCTTCCAAGCCAATAAAAACTCCATAAACACCATCTGTAAGGTCTGTGTTGTTTTCCATTGTACAGGTAGTACATAGTTACTTATCCATTCTCCCTCCTGGCTATTTCCAAATTTTTTGCTATCATAAATAATGCTGTGATAAATTTCTTTGTTTATATTTCAGATTATTTCCTTTTGATAAGTATTATTTGCAGTAGAATAACAGTCATTTATTAACACTTGAAGGTTCTTAGTACTTACTGTTAAAACTGTATTAAACTCATTCTCAGTATTAAAATCAAGCAAGAAAACTTTCTATAGTTAATAAATGAAGAATGACAAATCATTACTGCTCATATTTACATATCTAGGAATAGTTTTTCAAACAAGTCGTTTCTGTATCGGTATCTTTTAGCCTGGCAATTCTAGTTCTAGGAATTGACAATGCAGATACAGTTTCATAGATATGCATTTACAGAATGCTTCCTGCTGCAGTGAGAGTGGCCTGGGGTGGGGCTGGGTAGGGCAGGGGAAAGACTCCTCTATCTTTAAGCATTGTTGTTTCACTTGAATAGATTATTGTAAGCATAAACTACATTTATAAATAGAAACATGTTATCAGTTTCACATTCTCCCTGAGTACTACTTCTACTGAACAAAAACTATACATATATTTTTAAATGACATCTTCTGAAACTCCTTTAATTCCAAAAACATAAAAAATGCTAAAAGCCACCACACCTAATTCTTTAGCATCTCCTCCTGCTGGACTTCCATTTTCCTGTCGTGCTACAAGTGCACTCAAAATAATTTTCGTTGCACCAAACCGTGGCAGAGTGACATGTGTAAGAAACGGCAAGTTGTTCTTCCTGGCAAACGCCTGGCTGGTTTCTCGCCTCTTCCTGAGGAAGCCCCCTTCTGGAAACAACACGATCCATTTTCGATCTCTGCTCCTGTAATTACTTTCCAGGTGCTTCTTGAGAAGCAGCAGCTGCTGGTCCCGATAAGATCTCCCCTAGAAGGCACACACACACACACACACACACACACACAGAGTGAGTACAGGTGCACCTGAAATCACAGTGCCATGAGATTAAATAGGAATAACAGGTTCTCAGTCAAAACCCAACCATAAAACAGAAAAGTGATCTTCCCTTCCCCAAACCCTCTACTTATTTATTGTTTTTACCACAGTGGAAAAAAACGAGAGGTTATTAGCGCTCATATGAGTAAACCATTTTTCTGAAGGAAAAACAGATTGTTCTGATTGCCCCTGGAAATCGATTTACTGAGTGCCTACAATTTGCCAAGCACTGCCCTAGACTCTAGAGTTAGAGGAGTAAACGGAGACTTGCGTGGACCTCCCACTCTCCGCGGGGAAGTCGGTGATTGTGTAGTGTAAGTTCAACTGGTGACGTGTGAGGAGAAAAGAACACGAGAACAGGAGGGTCAAGAAGGACGAGAGGGAGAGCTGCCTTGAGGAGGTGACATGTGTGAGGGAATAAGCCACGTGCAGGCGAGACACAGAACATTCCAAACGCCACAAGGCCCTGAGGTGGGCACAGCTGGGCATGTTCCAAGAGCAGCACACCAAGGCCAGCCTGGCTGAAGTCTGATGAAGCAGGGACTCAGTGGTAGGAGATGGAATTGCAGAGGGGAACAGAGACCAAATAAGAAGGACCCTGGGCCCAGGTCAGGAGCTGTGGATTGTTCTGAACCAGGAAGCGTCATAGCTTTAATTTCATTTGAAAAAAATCTGCTGGTTCCTTTGACAAAAAGATCACAGAAGCTAAGTTAGGAGACTAGTGCCACAGTGCACACAAGGGCATCTGGTGAGATTCAACCATCTAGGGTATTCATGAGTAGTGGGTACATTCAGGAAACAGTGTGAAGGTACAGTTAACGTTCTGATGGGCCTGGATCTTAGCTGGAAGCGAAGAGAGGAAAGAGGACGGCTTGAAGGCTGCAAAGAGGAACCCAGAGAAAGGTATAGGAAGACTCCAAACCTGTAACCAAACACTAAAGCTCTTCCTTTCTGTGTGATCAATTTGCTTATAATTTCCAGTCAACCAAATCACAGGAATGACTAGAAATAATTAGCATGCTCAGTCTTTAGAGGAGGTGTGTTCCCAATGCAAAGCGAGGTTATTAGCTGAACTGGACTGATTGCGGTTAAGGAAACTATTAAGTAACATATTTTTACTCTTCTTGGTGATTTTGTCTAGTAACAAAATCTCAAGGGATTTATTTATTTACTTATTTAACAGGTAGAGTTATAGACAGTGAGAGAGAGAGACAGAGAAAAAGGTCTTCCTTCCATTGGTTCACTCCCTAAATGGCCGCCACGGCCAGCGCTGCACCGATTCGAAGCCACACGCCAGGAGCTTCTTCCTGGTCTCCCATGCGGGTGCAGGGCCCAAGCACTTTGGCCATTCTCCACTGCCTTCCCGGGCCACAGCAGAGAGCTGGACTGGAAGAGGAGCAACCGGGACTAGAACCCGGCGCCTATATGGGATGCCGGCACCACACGGAGGATTAACCAAGAGTTTCTTTTAAACATTAATACTTTTCCCTTCACAACCCCTACATTATAGATTCTTATTACTAACCTATCAGGGAAAAATGTTCCCTTTAGAAATGAATTTGCAAATCTCCCAACTACTCTGGAATGCAGTCTTTAAGTACACAAAACTTCACATTAATACATTCATTTACATTTACTTTAACAACAAGGAAAATATTTTAGAGTATGGAATTTTCAACTTTCATTCCCTTAAAGAACATGGAAGTCAGCCTCTTCTCGATGCCTGAGGACCGTCTTTAGGATCAGCTGTTGCACTGCTCTATAAATCCAATGGCTGCCCCAGACTCCCCTGCGGCAAGGGGCTCAGCTAGGGCTCCACTGGATTCCCCTGGACTACCAAGCCTCCTAGTTCCGCTGCCCTCTCTGAGATACCTGGCCAGGCTCTCAGTTAGGTGCTTCTGACCACCGTCTTATCACTTGTGGTCAATCTCCATTGTCACTTCTTTCTAAAGCTCCCATCCACAATTCCTCTGTCTCTCTGTTCAGAAGAACCAAGGGTGTTTCTAGAAGAAACTAGAAAACTGCACAGCATGTGAGAAAAAAAACCATGTTGTGTACATAAAACTGTCTAGAGTGAAGTCCATGTGTTTTGTGACACCTACTTTTACAGAGCTTAGAAGAAGCTTCTTTCTGAACCTGAGGTTCTTTTTTTAAAATTTCTGTTCATATACTTTGCATTTTTAAAAATATTTTATCTTTATTATTTATTTGAGAGGCAGAATTACAGACAGAGAGCAGGAGAGACAGGGAGAAAGGTCTTCCATCTGCTGGTTCTCTCCCCAAATGGCTGCGCTGGCTGGAGCTGAGTAGATCCAAAGCCAGGAGCCAGGAGCTTCTTCTGAGTCTCCCACTTGGATGCTGGGGCCCAAAGACTTGGGCCATCTTCTACTGCTTTCCCAGGCCACAGCAGAGAGTTTGATTGGAAGAGGAGCAGCCAGGACACAAATTGGCGCCCATATGGAATTCTGGCTCCACAGGCAGAGGCTTAGCCTACTATACCACAGCACCAACTCTCAATCTGTGGCTCTTTTAGAAAAGGCTTAATTAGATTTTTGGTTACTAACTACTTATTATTTGCAAAGCACTACACAATCTATACAATCCAGGTAAAGTTCCTAAATATACAATACCTAATAAGTGTGGCATTACCACACCTAAAAACTTATACACATCTAGGGCTGGCGTTTCAGTGTAGTGGGTAAAGTCACCACCTGTGATGCCAGCATCCCATGTGGGCACCAGTTTGAGTCCCAGCTGCTCCACTTCTGATCCAGCTCCCGCTAATGTGTCTGGGAAAGCAGAGGAAGATGGATCAAGTGCATGGGCCCTGCCATCCATGTGGAAGACTGGGAAGAAGCTCCTGGTTCTGGGCTTCAAGCTGGCCCAGTCCTGGCTGCTGCAGCCATTTGGAGAGTGAACCAGCAGATTGAAGACCTCTCTTCCTCTCTCTGTGATTCTGAATTTCAAATAAATAAAATCTTAAAGAAAACAAACAAAAAAATTTTTATATATCCATGTCAGTTACATACTTTGGGGACAATGTGTGATATTAGTAGCATATCAGGGACACACTCCAATGCAGTGCTGACCTGTTAAGAGGTTATCAATCTTTTCTCTCTGCTGAACATTTCCTAACACTAGGGACCCTTTCTCAATTCACCTTCATCCATCAAGTCTATATCCATTCTTTAAAATTTATGCTGAATATTATCTTCTCTAAAGTTTCTCTGGATTCACAGTGAATTCCCAAAATACTTCCTTTTATGGTTATACTTACTTGATAATTTCCCTACTGGTAATTTAGATGTCTTTTACACCATACAACAAGACCTTATAAATAAAAAATAGGGGCCGGTGCTGTGGCGCAGCAGGTTAAAGCCCCAGCCTGCAGCGTCAGAATCCCATATGGCGCCAGTTTCAGTCCCAGCTGCTTCACTTCTGATCCAGTTCTCTGCTATGGTCTGGAAAAGCAGTAGAAGAAGGCCCAAGTCCTTGGGCCCCTGCACCCATATGGGAGACATGGAAGAAGATCCTGACTCAAATGACCTTACTATGCTAAAAAAGGCTTTTCAAGAGTCAGACCCTGACTCTCCCGACTTTGGACAGGTGCTCACACAATGGGCAGTGAACCTTCAAACTCATTTTGACTGGGTTACACTGCTCAAAGCATGTTTGTCGAGACCACAGTTCTTAACAATGGAAAGCCTCCCATGAGGAAGAGGCTGAAACTATGGCAAGGAATAATGCTGTCTATGGAATAGCAGTAACCTTTGATATGCTTAAAAGCCATGGCACCTACATCTATCCTCATGAACAGGCCCGCATTGGAGTAGTTGTCTATTTTGATCAGGTCAGAAATTTGGCACTTAGAGCCTTAAAAAATATAAATCCTAATTATAGTCAGCTCTTTAGAAACCTAGTTGAAGGCCCAGGCGAATGGTTCCCCAATTTCCTTGCCAGAGTCTTGGAGGCAGTAGAGAAAAGATTACCGCTTGGCCCTGATCAAGACAATCTGGTCAAACAATTAGCTTGGGAAGGTGCTACCAAAGAGGCAAAAGCTGCAATCGCCCCAGTCCGTAATGAAGACATCTCTAAATGGATAGTAGCCACAAAGGAGGTAAACCCTGCTGATACACCCATACAGGCCCTAACTGCAGCCATTAACAAACTGAACACAAGGAAGTCTAATGACCGTCCAGTTTGTTGGGGAACGTCAGGAAATAGGACACCTCCGGCGAAACTGCCCATAGCCACATCCGTTACTGTTTTATACTCCACTAGCTCTGGTCAGCCACTCAAATGGCCCACAGCCTGTGTGCGGTCATGCCATTCCTGATTACCATTGTTCCTCATTCCTACCCCCATCTGAGCAAGCACTCCTGTGGTCTCCCGTTTTCAGCGCTGGTTAGTCAATGATGGGTAAGATCCCCTGGGGGACAACCTAAGACAGGCACAGCCGCGTAAGGAGACCACATGGAAATGGGGTCAACAATGGTATGGCCAAGAATCATGCCTCCCGTTGTTCAAAAATAAACAAAAAGGGGAAATGTGGTGGGATGAGAAGGCCATGCCAAGATGGTCACTGGCAAGTGAGCGTCAGTTACTCAGGAATGGCTTTGAAACCCACCTGGCAATGGAGCCTGCCTGGCAACAGGCTGTGTGATTGGTTAGGGCATAAACTGCCCCTTGACCGGATTGGCTGCCCTGGCTATTTAAGCAGCTGTACCAGCTGAAATAAACGAGTCTGCCGGCTGCTCGCCTCTGGCCCGCTTTCACCCGACTCCCGGGGTCTGTGTGGTGACTCCGCACCTCTTGCCCCCACCACGCTCCTCCTTTCAGAATGAATCCACAGCAAAGGAGACCAGGAAGAAAATCCTGGTTCCTGGTTTCAGATCAGCTCAGCTCTAGCCATTGCGGTGATGTGGGGAGAAAACCAGCAGATGGAAGACCTCTCTCTCTGGCTCTACCTCTCTCTGTAACTCTTTCAAATAAAAAAATAAATCTTTCAAAATAAATAAGTAAATAAATAAATAAAAGTGATAATATAGATGAGAGGGATAGTCATGATAAAATAATAATGAGGGTAGTAGGCACTGTTGGAGGGTTTTACATGTATTGCTTCATTTAAAAGAATCGTCTCAAGGGAATACTATCTATTATTCTTATTTGAAAAACAAGGACACTACGAGCATTTACATAATTTGTCCAATATGTGAATAGCTAAGAGTTGAAGAGCAGGGAATGCGGCAGGTGCTTGATAAATGTTTACTGAATTCAACTGTACCCTCCAGAGGGGAGGAGAGCAGAGATAGAATATGCGCATGAAAAGTGCTTTAATATTTATGCATACTTAAATTCAGGTTAAAATAAATGTTTCTGGAACAAAAATACAGAGGACGCACTCCCTGAGACATAGGAACTGGATCTACTTACTATGATTGGTTTTTTTATGCATCATTTAATAATCAAGAATTGGTTGACTAGGCTACCACTGTGGGAAAAAATGCTTAGCACTTACCTGTCTTATAAAGAAGTCTCCGTGAATTAGAGAAACAATTCCAAAGTTTGTGTACTTAAAAATATGATCCATCAACCACATCATTTGAGCAACAACCTAAAATATTTAAAAGCAGGAGATAATTAAATGTTATATAAAAGAAACCTGACCACAGCCAAGTCTTCAAGTTTTAAATAAATTCATCCAAGCATAATCTTATTTAACCTAAACTTCTTAACACTAATACCTTTCTTACAAAAACAGCACAATTACTAATGGAATCCATATGAAAAATTACAGGTCTTGATTACAAGTCTTATAATCCCAAGTCATCTGTACAATAACTGAAGCTGAATTAACTTATCTTTTTAATGAACTTCTTAAATTGGACTTAATGATTTCAAATTTGCTCTGTCCTAAACGAGGTGTGGTATTTCTTACATATAACTTATAAAAAGACATTTCCAATCAATCAAAAAACTGTTAAGGCTATCAAATAAGGGCTATTGTTTAATTAATAAGCACTAAAGCTTTGTGAAATGTGAGTGTACCTTAATGGCTAAAATGTAAAAAGTTTATGTCCAAAATAAAGAGTATTTTTTAAAAATAATCTAATAGAATGATTTATACATTCTGTTATGCTATAAAGCATATTTGTGAGTTTATCAGGAAAGATTCTTTGCCAGCATAAAAATATTTATAATGCTAGTCCTTAAATACAAAAATACATCCATTGCTGATAAGCATTAATACCCATACTGAGGCCGGCGCCGCAGCTTACTGGGCTAATCCTCCGCCTGCGGCGCCGGCACACTGGGTTCTAGTCCCGGTCGGGGCGCTGGATTCTGTCCTGGTTGCCCCTCTTCCAGGCCAGCTCTCTGCTGTGGCCAGGGAGTGTAGTGGAGGATGGCCCAAGTACTTGGGCCCTGCACCCGCATGGGAGACCAGGAGAAGCACCTGGCTCCTGGCTTCAGATCAGTGTGGTGTGCTGGCCACAGCACGCCGGCCGTAGTGCACAGGCTGCAGCGGCCATTGGAAGGAGAACCAACGGCAAAGGAAGACCTTTCACTCTGTCTCTCTCACTGTCCACTCTGCCTGTCCAAAAAAAAAAAAAAAATACTGAGAGTAGACTTCATTTCAAGCAAATTTTAAAACTAACAATAAGTTTAAGCAGGAAATTAACGAATTGGTTAATTGTTCTTTCCTGCTGAGGAAACAGCATTCCTTGTTATAAACCTTAAATAAAGTAAAAGCTACAACCTCAATCAAGCATGTAACCCATGCTCCTGTAGTTTCTCACGGGATTTTTTTTAAAAGATTTTATTTATTTATTTATTTGAGAGGTAGAGTTACAGGCAGTGAGAGGGAGAGACAGAGAAAGGTCTTCCATCCATTGGTTTACTCTCCAAATGGCCGCAATGAACTTCTTAAATTGGACAGTGCTGTGCCGATCCGAAGCCAGGAGCCAGGAGCTTCTTCCTGGTCTCCCATGTGGGTGCAGGGGCCCAAGCACTTGGGCCATCTTCTACTGTTTTCCCAGGCCACAGCAGAGAGCTGAATTAGAAGAGGAGCAGCCGGGACTAGAACTGAGCCCATATGGAATATGGGCACTGCAGGCAGAGGGTTAACCTACTGCGTCACGGTGCTGGCCCCTTCTCACGAGATTAACAAATGTAAACATCATCTCTAAGCACCAAATTATGTGACTTTATATATAAGGAAAAAATTCAATACTTATGTGCTACTTTTTTTTTTTTTTTTTTTGACAGGCAGAGTGGACAGTGAGAGAGAGAGAGAGAGAGAAAGGTCTTCCTTTGCTGTTGGTTCACCCTCCAATGGCTGCCACGGCCGGCGCGCTGCGGCCTGTGCATCGCGCTGATCCGATGGCAGGAGCCAGGTACTTATCCTGGTCTCCCATGCGGGTGCTGGGCCCAAGCACTTGGGCCATCCTCCACTGCACTCCCAGGCCACAGCAGAGAGCTGGCCTGGAAGAGGGGCAACCGGGACAGAATCCGGCGCCCAGACCGGGACTAGAACCCAGTGTGCTGGCGCCGCAAGGCAGAGGATTAGCCTATTGAGCCGCGGCGCCAGCCGCTACTTTTACGAAAGCCAGATAATATAATATTACAGCTTCTGCCTTAATTTCTCAGTTACCCCTATTCCATCAGCTTTACTGAATTAAATTACTTTAAAAAATAAGGTATGTGCCTAGTGAACAATTCAGTCTCCAAGTCAATTAATAGAGTAAAAAATAATCACCAGCATCTCACTTTTCAGTATTGTTTTGCTTTGCAATGATGATTACTTTGTTCAAATAAAATGAGATTTATATCAAATGGAATTTGTTGAAAAGTGACCCGAGAATAAACAAACATAAGTGGGCTGGCGCCGCTCACTAGGCTAATCCTCCGCCTGCGGTGCCGGCACCCCGGTTTCTAGTCCCAGTTGCCCCTCTTCCAGTCCAGCTCTCTGCTGTGGCCCAGGAAGGCAGGGGAGGATGGCCCAAGTGCTTGGGACCCTGCACCTGCATGGGAGACCACGAGGAAAGCACCTGGCTCCTGGCTTCGGATCGGCGCAGCACTGGCCGTAGTGGCCATTTGAGGGGTGAACCAACGGAAGGAAGACCTTTCTCTCTGTCTCTCTCTCTCTCTCTCTCACTCTGCCTGTCAACAAACAAACAAACAAGCAAGCAAACATAAGTGGACTCAAACTGTGGCACAGCAAGCTAAGCCACCACCTGAGACACCAGCATCCTGTTTGAGGTCCAGTTCATGTCCTGGCTGCCCCACTTCCCATCTAGCTCCCTGCTAATGTGCCTGGGAGAGCAGTGGAAGATGACCTAAGTAACTGGCCCCTGCCCCGATCTGGGAGACCCAGATGGAGTTCCTGGCTCCTAGTTTTGGCCTGGCCCAGCCCTGGCCACTGCAGCCATTTGTGGAGTGTACCAGCAGATAGAAGATCCCTGTCTCTCCTCTCTCTGTAACTCTGCCTTTTAAATAAATAATCTTTTAAAAAATATCTTAATTTTATGCTTAGTAAGAAGTATAGCTGTGATTTATGCATCTCTGGGATTTTTCATTTATGATGGGTTTACCTCTTATGTCCAAATGATCATTAAAAAACCAAGTTCAGGAAGACAGTTGAACTGTATTCTGAGATTTGTCCTCATTTATTTTAGAGGAACTCTCATGAGTCAATATAGAGTTATTTTTGCAGAAATAAGTGTTCTTAGCTTTATTGCCATAAAAGGACAAAATGCCTTACTTCACAGACACTTATTAAAAAGATATCAGCCAGCCCATTTAGGGAAAAAAAAAAAAAGTAAAAAGCTCATCCTTGTTTCATATTCCTCAAAAAACAAACAAACAAACAAACAAACAAAAAAACGGTCAGTAAAAACACACTGCCTGAATTAACCATCAGTGCTGGACAGGTCAGACACTCGGAACTTTGTTAGTTACCTCTAGGAGATGAAACTGGTCTACATCAATTGCTTTTCATCTGGAAGCACAGATTTTCCACCCACGAAAGCATCACCTAGACAGACTTAAACCAATGACTCTAGTCTTTACTTCTGTTTGAACTTAGAATGAGGGCAGTGGTTCTCCTCTAGATGAGTAAGTCAATCTGGAAGGACAATCTCTGTTGTCACAGTGACAAGGGAGTGGTGCACCTGTTCAGTGGGTGGCTGGCCAGTATGCAAAACATCCAGCAATGCCCAGGACAGCCCCCACTGTGTTGTGCTACAAAAATGCCAATGGTGCCCCCACTGAAACACCGACCGTTGCTCCAAGTCTCCTGAATTCAAAAAGCTATATTACAACTGCATCACCATGAAGGTAGTATTTTTAAACTTGCTTACAATTTATCAATGCCTTTCTTTGAATGAACCATGGAGTAATTCATTCATCCAATAAACTTTCGTACTGTAAATGTAAATTAGTTCTGCCCTGTAGTTAGTAGGCAATCTCTACTAGGAGGTAGAGATTACCATGCCTCAACCTCTGTATTTCTCTATTATTTCTTTATGAGAGATTTAAAAAAACTCTTTTGGATTTCAAATTACTGAAGTACCACAGCATTAAATGTTCAGTGTTAACTAACCTGAAAGTAAAAACAAATTACTTAGTATAAGAAAATGAATGCAAACAAACTCAGATCTTTTTCAGAAAGGCAAGCTAACCAGCCTTTCATTTGTCCACATGAATTTCATGCTAATACTCTGGTTAGCACAGTTAATATCCATCCCAAATTGGAGTTAGAAAACAGGCATATTTATACTGATGATTTAATCATTCCTTGAGACTCAAAAACCACTTAAGGATGCTGTATTCCCTCAGAATAATTATCACTATAAATGTAATTATCATATTCAGCAAGAATAAAACTGTTAGCCAACTGGAAGATTTTCTTTCACAGAAGGCCAAATGATACTTGTTTTTACAAAAGTTTAATATCATGAATTTAAACGACAGGCCATATGTATTATCGTTAAGTGCAAATACATCTACACAATGATTACTCTAACACTTCAAGATTCTGAATATAAAAAGGGTTGCATTTATTCCACATTCTAGCAAGATTATACTTCTTGCTTTTCAAATAAATAATAAAAACAGATTCTGCAATAACCAAAACATACTTTCCTTTAATCTCACCTCACTTTCTGACCCTACCCTGACCTGGTGATCAAAATCTGTAGGAGCTAATAAACACACCTGCCTTACTCTCAGCTCTTGTTTCTGCCAGGATGGTTTCACTAAGGCAGAAAGAAGGCCCTGCTCCAACACTCTACCCAACTAAATTCTACTTATCCTTCAAGGCCAAGTTTATGTCCTGTCCCCTACACAAAGCTTTCCACATCCATCAGGTACCTGGTGATCACCCCCCACTAGAGACCTCTCCTGCAATTACTATGGCTGGTGATACCCTCTCCTCCGCCTCCTACGTGCACGTCTATACTTCTTTAAGTCACTCTTTTGGACTAATAAGCTCTGAATGAACATCAGCATTTGTTGATTTGTTCATTTACTATTAAGCCAAATATTAACTCCATTAATTTTATATACTATTTATCTAATTTTCTATGAACATAACTTCTTTAACTTCTAAGATGACAACTCTTTTTTTAAAACACTTTATGGAAATACAGTACACATACCAAGTAATGCACATAAATGTGCAAATAAATGATGTTATTTTTGCCATTTGATTACACTCATAAGCAACATTCAAATTAAAAACAACAAGAAAAATACAGAATGCTTTACAAATTTCTGTGTCACTCCTGCACAGGGCTGTGCTAGTCTTTACTGTTCCATTCTAATTTTAGTATATGTGCTACTAAAGCAAATATAAGGTGATAATTTTGAATGATAAAGACCAAATTTATTTTTTAATTTATTTTTAAATCTACCCAATTTGTTGATATATTTTATTATTTTTAAAACTGGTTTTTTTTTTAAATATTTATTTGAAAGGCAGAGTGTCAGAGAGAGAGGGAGAGACAGAGAAATATCTTCCATCCACTGGTTCACTCCCCAGATGGACACAATGGCCCAGTCCAGGCCAAGTGGAAGCCAGGAGCCAGGAATTCCATCTGGGTCACTCAGACGGATGACAGGGTCCCTAGCTTCCTTCCCAAGCACGTTAGCAGGGAGCTGGACTGTGAGCAGAGCTGGGACTCAAACCAGCACTCTGGGATGCCAGCATTACAAGAGGCAGCCAAACCCACTATACCAAAATGCCAATCCCTATTGATATATTCCAATACAAGAAATATATATATATATATATATACACACACCAATACAAGAAATGTAAAATCAACAGCCCAAATATAGCAAGACTGGATAAAGCAAGTCTAATATCTTTTCTTTCAATCTACTTTGTAAATAAAATTTAAAATAACACTGACCAAAAAAAAATAATAACACTTACCTTACTTCCTTCTGCTAGAGATCACCAAGATAACTAATTCACTAATTAATTCTACTCTTCCATCTTAAGCAATACCTCTTCTTGAGTTTCCGTTTCTGAAACTGACAACCTACTACTTCACCTCAATTTGAACTATATTAGCTTTTCATTCAACCAGTTGTTACTTTTTCAAAATAGTTTTGAGATGTATTACCCCAGGTATTATTTTTAAAGTCTCTAAATCCCCCTCCTAGAGTGACTTAGAATTAAATATATACTGATACAGCCATCTACCTATATCTACAACATTTTAAAAATATATAGGTAGATCTTTCTTTTTAGCATTTCCTAAGTTTTCAGGAAAGTGCACACGTTTCATCCACATGTGTGATTCCTCCGCAGCCTCCCCCGGAAGTCCCTCAGGCCCTCGGGTAGCTTACCAGCCCTTTGTCCTGGAGACACATCATCAGTGTGCACACGTCTCCTGTCGCCTGATGATTCACCAACATCATTGCTTCGTCTTTTGAAATTGCTTTAATATCTTCCCCCCATTCCATCACTGTAAGAATAAAAAGTTTTACAGCTGTCATTTTAAATATCTTTACATCATTAGAAACCTTCTATTAGAAAAATATTTCTGAAAGTTTAGAACAAAGTTGATTTCCTATAAAAACTTGAATGTTGATATAACATTTATAAAGCCTCTAAATATCCATTAAAATATAAATGTCATACCTTTGGTCTAGAAGTTCTAGTTCCTAACATTTATCTCACAGAAGAAACATTAGTCCAAACAGGCAAAGATATACAAGGGAGCTTCAAAAATTTCAAGGAGAATTAAATTTAAAAATCATGCAAATTCTCCATGAACTCTTTCAAGTCCCTTCTCATAAACATAAACACACACACGTATGTACATATATGTTATTTATTACAACTTAAATGTTTACAAACAGAGGAATAGATCAGAAAATTATAACAAAATGGATATATTACCAACTAAACACAGCAAATCACAAAATCTTACCCATAGCATGATTCTATCTTTTTAGAGAAGGAATACAACTTATGCTATATTAAGAGACTGGAAAAAGTCTGAGGGAATGGATTGCAAACTATCTATATGATCATCGCCAGAAGGTGGTTCTCAGATCTTCCAATTCTGTAGAAGAAAACACTCAAACACTACAAGTATATTTATGTATCTTCATTTTAAGGAAGCTAAACTTATTTAAAATATACAGATGAAAAGTCATTGCACCAAATCCTGTGTATACACTATTAGGAAAGGAATGCTCTCTATGTTATTATACTTCACTTTATTTAGTTAAATTGATTTATTTCACAGGAAAAAAACAGAGCAACATTTTCAAATACCAGGATTCTACAAAGAAGCTGCTAGAGTTCTAAATACCTGGCATGAACTATCTATCAGGCAGCATTCACTTTTACCCTACCCCTACCTTACTCCCTGCTATAAGGACAGAGTCATGCCTGCTGCATTTAACAGTTCTGGATCCAGCAGAGATGGGAGGCCTGGAGCCACCTGCTTCACCACCCCTCGCCTGCCTCTTTTCTCAGTCAGCCCTCACATCACCCCAAAATACTGAAGCTCCCTGTGATACAGTGCAGCTCTACAAAAGAGTTTGTTTCAAAGAAGGATTCTGTTTGTTTCTCTATTAAAACCCACTTGAGCAAGGCATCTATTCATTCACTGTTGTTTTTTTTTTTTTTTAAGATTTATTTATTTATTTGAAAGGTGGAGTGATAGAGGGGAAGAGATGGAGAGATCTTCCTTTTGTTGGTTCATTCTCCAAATGGCTGCAACAACCAAGACTGAACCAGGAACTCCATCCAGGTCTCCCTCAGGTAGCACAGGCCCAAGTACTTGAACCAGCATCCACTGGCTTCTCAGGCACATTAGCAGGAAGTTGGATTAGAACCAGAGCAGCACGACTCAAACCAGCACTGCAATATGGAAAGCTGGAATCCCAAGAGACAGCTTAATCTGCTGTGCCCCAATGCTGACCTCTATTCATTTATTTTAAAGATCTTAAAATTTTATATGAAGGAAATTTGCAGTAGGGCTGAACATATAAGTTGTGGTACCTACTTGCAAATTGAGGTATTCTAATCATTCTACCAGATGTTATTACTAATGCTCAAATAGCTTACAATGTTGATGAAAAAGATTTTTCTTTAGAAAGATTTAACAAACCAGGGATGGTGCCAAATGCTTGCTAAGGAACAGAGGTAGAACCCTGGGGAGAGCAAACTGTAGTGGCACCGGCTTTTCTCAGAACGGCCTGTCTTCCCCAAGCTTCCGGTTCAGTTCAGCTGACAAGCTAACTTTCCCAAAATATTCAAACAGCTTTGACTTTGCTGGTGAAGTATAAATTGGTACAATCTTTTTGGAAATCAGTTTGTATTAAATGTCAAAATTATGAGGCTGGCGCCAAGGCTCAATAGGCTAATCCTCTGCCTGCGGCGCAGGCACACTGCGTTCTAGTCCTGGTCGGGGCACTGGATCCTGTCCTGGTTGCCCCTCTTCCAGGCCAGCTCTGTGCTGTGGCCCGGGAGTGCAGTGGAGGATGGCCCAAGTCCTTGGGCCCTGCACCCCATGGGAGACCAGGGGAGGCACCTGGCTACTGGCTTCGGATCAGCGTGGTGTGCCGGCCGCAGCACGCCGGCCTCAGCAGCCATTGAGGGGTGAACCAACGGCAAAGGAAGACCTTTATCTCTGTCTCTCTCTCTCTCACTGTCCACTCTGCATGTCAAAAAATAAAAAATAAAAAAATAAATGTCAAAATTAAGAAATGCACAAACCTTTTCCCCAGCAATCCCATTTCTAGGAATTCATTCTACAGACATACTTGTGTACAAAGTGACACATATGTAAGGAGATTTACTGTGGCTTTGTTTGCAAGAGCAAAGATGAAAACACCTAAAGCGGGGGATCAGCTCCAATCCACAGAAACGGGAAGCAGAGTGGCTGGTGGCAGCAGGTGGGAAGGGGGAATTCATTGTTTAATGAGTGCAGCTGTCCCTCCGTGTCCCTCAATATCAAAATCCAGGGATGCTCAGTCCCCTAGATAAAATGGTACAGCATTTGCATATGCTGTATATGCACAACTTCCCGTATACTTCAAATCATCTTCAGATTACTTATGATATTGAGTACAATATAAGTGCTATGTGAATAGTTTTTCTGTATTGCTAGGGAAATGACAAAAAAAAATCTGTACATGTTCAGACAAATGTAACTGTTTCTGAATATTTATGCTGGTTGACTGTTTCACTGGTTGAGTCCACGGATACTGAACCCACAGTTATGGAGGACCAACTGTACAGAGTTTAATTTTCGCAAGATGAAAAGTTCTGGAGATTTGTTGCACAGTAATGTGAGGTGCTTAATACTAATGTGTATATTTAAAATGGTTAAGAGGGTAAATTTTATGCTGCATGTATATTACAAATAAAAAATTGGAAAAGAGAGATGAGCTAAATAAATGATTTACCAATGGTATATCATGCAATCACAAATTTATATATTACTATGGAATGATCTACTGTAAGCAATAAAACTGTAGAATAGTGTGAAGATGCCATTGGTTACATTTTTAAAAATAGAATATATTTACTGAACGAAAACTCTTTATATCATAGTTCTGCTAATAACCCTTCACACACACACACACACACACATTCATTAATTCAGGCACTGTTAGGTATTGTTGATATACAACAAATAACAACATTTCAAGTACTATTCTAAAGTGAATAAAAGTGAAAACACTCAAGAAAATTCTAGCTTGGTTCTGTAAATGTCAGCTAAGAGTAACATGAAAAGTTTGCTGGCTCCACAACTGTACAAATAAGATGTTTCATAACCAGTGATTCCTTTAGTGGAATCTCTGCTAGATACCTTAAGCTCCTGCAGGAAAGCATATATGTGAATATAACTGCAAAAAGGGGGGTGGTTAAAGATGTATTTATTTATTTGAAAGACACAGGTAGAGAGAGAAGGAGGGTAAGAGAGAGCCAGAGTCAGAGCCAGAGCGAGAGCAAGAGAGAGAGATCTGCCGGTTCACTCTCCAAATGGCTGCAATAGCCAGGGCTGGGCCAGGCCAAAATCAGGAGCCTGGAACTCCATCTGAGTCTTCCACATGGGTGTAGGAGCCAAGGACTTGCATTATTTATTCTCCACTGCTTTCTCAGGCACATTAGCAGGGCACTGGATTGGAAGTGGAGCAGTCAGGAATCAAACCTGTGCCCACATGAGATGCCTGTGTTACAGGCAGTGGCTTAACCCACTATGCCACAACGCCAGCCCCCAGGGTAAATTTTTTATAGATTTATTTACTTGAAAGGCAGAATTAGAGATGGAGAAAGATCTTACATCTGCTGGTTCACCCTCCAAATGGCTGCAACTGCAGGGGCTGGATGAGGCTAAAGCCAGGAGCCAGGAGCTTCATCCAGGTCTCCCACATTGCGTACAGAAGCCCAAGGACTTGGGCCATCTTTTGCTGCTTTCCCAGGCACATTAGCAGGAGGCTGTATTGGAAGTGGAGCAGCTGGAACTCAAACAGGTACTCATATGGAATGTGGGCATTGCAGGTGGTGGCTTAACCTGCTTTGCCACAATGCCGATTCACCAAAATAAATATTTTAACATAAAATGCAACTTATTTGTTTGCTTTATATAAACTATATTAAATACAATTTAAATATAAAAATGTAAATTGAATTTGGATCCCTCTATGTTGAATTGTGTGACCCTAACATTCGCATCCACCTAGAAGCTGTAAACCAAGTTAAGATAAAGTCACACTGGATTACTTGCTCTCTCGTTTCTCACTCTTGCCTCCTCTTGTCCTTCTGCCTTTTAGCAATAGGATGATGCAGCATGAAGGCTAAACCTAGTATGACTGCAGTCCTTAAAGAAAGGGAGAATTTGGACACAGGAGCACAGAGAGAGCCAGGTGATTATGCAGGCAGAGTTGGAGTGACATCTACAAGCCAAGGGACCTACAGCCTTCACAAAGAGCGCAGCCCTCTAACACCTTGATTTCCAATTTCTAACCTCTGGAACTGTTGAAGAACAGATTTCTGTTGTTGTAAGCCACCCAGCTTGTGGAACTAAGAAATTAATATTACTACCCTTAGCTTTTTTTTTTTTAAAGATTTATTTTATTTGGCCAGTGCCGCGGCTCACTAGGCTAATCCTCCGCCTGCAGCGCCGGCACACCAGGTTCTAGTTCCGGTCGGGGCGCCGGATTCTGTCCCGGTTGCTCCTCTTCTAGTCCAGCTCTCTGCTGTGGCTCGGGAGGGCAGTGGAGGATGGCTGAAGTGCTTGGGCCCTGCACCTGCATGGGAGACCAGGAGAAGCACCTGGCTCCTGGCTTTGGATCAGCGCGGTGCGCCGGCTGCAGCGGCTATTGGGGGGTGAACCAACAGAAAAGGAAGACCTTTCTGTCTCCCTCTCTCACTGTCCACTCTGCCTGTCAAAAAAAAAAAAAAAGATTTATTTTATTTACTTGAAAGATAGAGTTATAGAGA